TGTCCGGGGGTCAGAGGAGTCTCACTACTGAGAAATGCCCTGTTTTGGCTGTGTTTGCACAGTAATTACCCATGCTTATCCCAGAGCAATAACCCATTCCACCCACTTCTGTGGTTCCTTGAATCCATCCTCCCACTTTATCGTGCACATCTCAAACAGGGAGGCAGCTGCCTGGTGAGGGGAAGCTCTGCAGCATCTCGGCCTGTCTCAATTTTTCGCACTATTGTAGTTTCGACTGAAGGCTCTGATGGGCCCAAGGGAATGGGGGGAGAGGGGACAGCGGCTTCCTGTGCATTTCAGCAAGGCAGGGACTGAGCCGGTGCTGCTCACCACAAATACCGGCGCTGCCATGAATTATGCATTCCTTGTTTAAAGAGAGGTCGCTCTCATCAATAATTGAAAGCTCCCTGCTCTGCCTTCAGCATCACATCTCCCACACCGGGAGTTAGGGAACGCATGAAATCTGCATGGACTTTCTCAAGGTGGCTAGGGGCTGGTGGAGAGAGGCAGCAAAATGCAGGCAAAATAAACCAAAATCCCTGCTGATGGCTTTGGTGTGTGGAATTAAGAGTCATCTGCAGCTACCTGCAGGTCTGCTCCAGCCCTGCTCCTCACACCGCTGTCTCCTCCCCTCTCCACACCTGTCTCTCCCAGGGTACACACAGAACAGTAGGCTTGCAAACATGGCTCAAACCAAGATTAAGGAGTGTTTCTTGAAACTTTTGGCTCCATTACCTGAGAGTAGTTTGCTTTGGGCGCTTGCCTAGAAAATCGTTACACTGGATGGTGGGATGTTCCCAAGGGACAGTCTGAACTGTGAGATTTCTCCCTCTGGGAAGGTAAGGCTCTTTAGAGCCTGTGTCTCTGATTAGAGCCATACAGTCCTGGGGCTGGGGTTGGTCCAGCATTCAGAGTCTTGTAAGCCTGGCTCAGACAGGCTGGCTGCCTTGAACCAGAGGCTGAAAAATCACCTTTCCTGCAGAGCAAACTTTTTGAAAAGTGTGGTTCTCATTCTGGATCAGGCAGGCAGAGGGCAGACCAAAACCTCAGAGAGCTACCAAGGCCCATGTGATCCTAACCATTTCTGAGTTACAAAAAAGGATGCAAATTGAGCAGCTTCTCAACAGGGCTGTAGGAAAATCAGAGGCACTGGAACATGTCAGCCTTATAATCCCCAGTCAGCTGCATCTCTCTCTAACTTTCACCTTTCTCCCATTCCCCCAGCACGTCCTTTCAAATGCACTGCAACTCAGGGAAAAAGTCACTCCCTGGGTCATTTTGCAGCCTGGAATCCTTATCCCTATCTCAATATCTGTCTTTTCCTGCCTATAACAAATTGTACCCTGTTGGTAATTAGTCAACAACAGATGAAGGGATTGGTCACATGTGGTCTGTACCTCAGCCAGATCTTGTTTCTCTTCAGCATCATTCCAGGGAATCCAGCTCTTCCCCCTATGTGCTTCTCTCATTGTCTTCTCCTGAATCCTTTCAGAATAATGTCCCCTGTGTCAGAACAGGAGCTTAAATGGAGACTGAATGGTGTTGCATCCCAGGAGCTGGGAAGTCTGACAAAGCAGCGTGAAGCCAAATAGTATGAGAAACATTTTGTCCCTATCATACTCAGCTTTGTGCTCTGTGTGTTTGTTTATTTTTTAATGGAGAACAGAAGATTGATGGATGAAATTAAGAAGAGGGATGTGTAATTGGAAAACAGCTCAAGAAGGCTACAGGCAGCATATTGAAGGCATCCATCAAACATTCAGCTAATGTTGTTAAGGGTGTGTAACACAAACAAGGGCTGCAGGAGACACTAGGGGAAAAAAAAGGAAAGAGAATGGGGAATAGGCAGGACAGGAGAAATAGCAAGGGAGGAGAAGAGCCAGCAAGAGAGTACAATCAATAATATTTGTATTGCAATCACATCCAAAGGCTCCCGTTGGGATCAGTGCTGGACTGTACAAGCACATTAAGAGATGGTCCCTGCCCTCTACAGCTTAAACCCAGGAATTACCAGATGAATGCAGGAGATGGGTTTAGATGATCACAAAATTTTCTTCTGATCTTGAATCTCATTTAACAGAATCTACTGTGAGAGGGGTTAAAAGCAGAAGGAGGGTAGCTGGTTGTGCCAAGAATACACACTGCAGTGTTTGCCAGCAGGCATGCAATTAATCTGAGCCACTTAGGAGGCTTTGGTTTTAATTATAAAAAGTAGGTAAAAATATGTGCAGTAAACCTCTGTAAGCCCCACTGGGGCCATCGGCAGGCTACCCAGAGGCATCTCTATGTGACTGGATTTTGATGCTGTGTTTTCAAAAGGATGGACTGATGCTTTAATGGACCACTTTGTGGGAAATATTCCATGAGGGGTGGACATTAAGAGAATGCAAAGGGCCTTTGTGTGGGTAAGGACAGAAGACAAAGGCTAAAATTATTAGTAAGCCAGGGGATTTCTGTAGTCCTGGAAACAGGGAAGAAAAAAGACTCTGAAGGACTGAGAAAAGGCCAGTGAAAGATATAAAGCAGCAGAGAAGAGTACACATGATGGATGCAGGGGGAGACAGTGGGGGAGACAAGGTAACATTTTAAAGAGAAAATAAAGTATTCCAATAGAGATTTTTTGAAATGGGGTCGAAGTCAGGTCCTCTGTGAGGTTCACAAGTTACCTGGGGCTTTATGCAGGGTTTAACTTTTTCAGCCTTGCTTGCTTTGGAAAAGCAATAGAGAGAAGGTGCATGCAGAAATAAATGAACACAGAGCACTAGGGGAGTTGCACACACAGGCAGCATCTCCACTTGTTTGCAGTGTTTGGGAAGCATGAACAGGGCTGGCTGGAAGAGGAAGGAGGAGAAAGAACTAGAAAAAGAATTTTTTTAAAATTCTTCCAACTCTGATCCACTCTGTTCTGTTCTCTATTGGTAACATGGCTGCCACGGCTCCCTCCTCTTCTCTTTCCCTCCAGAAGCAACCTGAGTTTGCAGCAGTAGCAGGTCTGCTGCATAGAAACTATATCTGTATAATTAAAGCTTTTATTAAAGGGAAGTAGCAGTGGCTGTCTGACTCTGGTGCAGGGACATTTGTAATTGCAAGCATACTAGAGGAAGCAAGGAGCTGTGAAGACCCTGAGCAAGGGCCTGGGTGGGCCTTAGGTATCTGCAGTTGTTAGTAGCAATCCTTGGATTTCTTTTGTGGCTCTGTCCTCACAGCCATGAGTGATGGGAAGCTTTACTCTGCGCTGCTATGCTGGTAAGAGAAAAGATTTCTTGTATGGAAAGAAGTTCCTGGTGTGGGTAGCCTCATCCTGCCCTGTGTCAGGCCTGGATCTGTAGCTTACCAAATCCCTGTGCCTTTGGGATGAAAGCTTGAAGGACATCCTTGTACCTGCCCCAGACTCAGTCATCAAAATGCAGTGCAGTTAAGCAGAGCCAGCATATTTGCCACACAAGGCTCCTGCTCACATCACCAAAACATTCCGGTGTGCCCCTGGCCATGCAGCTTCCTTGGTCCACTTCTTCATCAGCGTTTTGTAGCTTGAAAGTAGTGAAATGGGCACCATGCTGTTTCCTGCATGAGGAGGTAAGAAACATTAAATATTAACACCATTAATGGTTGGCTGGGGGAGCAGTCAGTGGGAATATGTTTCCTTAAGGGACTGCTCCATCATTGGTACCATTGGTGTCTAACAAGGAATGAGCTTGTGTTGCAGTAATTTCCTTAATAGGGCTTATGAACATCCACCTGCCCACCAGAGGACTTGATGAGACATGCTAGTCTTCTGTCAGATGTGGCTGAAACAGGATTGACAGTTATTGGTGGTAGGGCACTGACGAGTCCTGCAATTGCATATTCCCTGTTTTTTTCAGGACACCAAGGTAAAATGTCAGCGAAACAATTAAAGACAGATTCTAAGAGGTCCCAGAGGATGAATTTATAATAGCATCTCCTAATATCTTTCAGGAGTACCCTGTGGCTGCTGTCACTGCAGAGCCCTTTTAGACCAGTTGTCATATTTCTTTTCACACAACTCTCTAAGACTGAAGCAAGACAATCCTTGCATTCTGGACAGATGAGGAGCTGCTGGACCCAAATCCTGGGCAAAGAATTGCTTTTGAACAAAATGTGCCTGTGTCCCTTTGAGGACCTTGGTTTTAGCTGACTGACCTTCAGTACACTTAAAAATCCCTGGCAGAGCAGGAATTTAGAGCCAACAAATTTGAACCTCCTTTCAATCCTTTGTATCAGCATGATGCCATCACTCTCTTCCCTCAAAATACCTTCAGTCTAGGAGTACAGGAGGACCTGGTAGGGCCTGGTGGGTACTCCAAAGTCTGATTTCAATGAAATGCTGCAATGGCCAAACACTGCAAACCAGAAGTAGAAAGGGATGTGGGATAATTAAACATTCAGCAGGCATCACCAGCACTGTGGAATGACCAAGGCAGGGATTTCATGGAACACTTTGTAGATGATAGCATGCATGCCCAATTGCCTCAATGCATCTGCCTGAGGAGGATGAATTAACACTGCAGAAGTGTTAAGAGGTGCTGGCTATCTAGAGGATTCCTGTCATCTGACTGTTTTGTCCAGTTGCATATTCAGGCGCACAAATCTTGCACACGGCTCTAAAACGCTGTACAAAAGAAGCAAATTAAATGGTCACAACAAAGCTTAGGAATGAACACAAGTCTCAAAGAGGGGGCAAGTAGCAGTCCTTTCCGGCTTCAGAATCAGCAACAAGAACAACCCTAACTCAAGGGCAGTGGTTTCATCATGGGATGGTGAGAGGTTCTTTAGAGCAACAGAAATAGCTAAAATCTTCTATTCAATGGCACCAGCATTGGCCAAGTTGGATAATGGTTTGGACCTAAAGTGTTAATGGATCTCCGTGTAATCTCAGACAACACTTTGCTGGATCAGGGCCAAACATATGTCATACCTCCCTGAATTTTTGGTGAGTGGTATTTTGGAGGCCTTACTCTTTTTTCTTTTCTGAAAGGTAGAGAGATGCCTGGGCATTGGAAGCTCCCTGCAGCATGCTGAGGAGACGTAACCTTCTTACCACGCTCCTGATTGCCTTGCCATGGGCTCTTCTCCTAACTTTGTGGCACCAGTACCCAACCACCCACTACCTCAGCCTCCTGAGAAGTAAGTTCAAAAGTTCTGCTGTCAGTGTGCTGGTGGCTGTGATGACTTCTGTTGCAAACCCTCAGCAAGGATGCTCTCTCGTGGGAAGGGTTAAACAAAGACAGACTTGCCTGAAGGCCCCCTCTGGGTTTGCTGACAGCAGAAACATAAACTGTTCTTAAGAGTGTGTTAAACATGCACCTTAGGCTGGCTTTGGAGAGAGGATGCAGCACTAACTCCAGATAGATGTGTGCCTCCCTGAGCATGAGGCAGCCTGTTAGTTATTAGTCCTCTGACACATTTTTTTTCCTTCTTTCTTCCTTTGTTTTGTCCCAGAAGAGACAGACGAGAACGTGACCTCTAAAGCTCTCCTTAATGGTACATCTGCACTGAGAGAAGAAGTCTTCCCATCATGCACTCGGCAGCAGCAAAGCATAGGAGCAACACCTAGAATCATCCAGAATTATGTGTACTCCAGGCCTCCCCCATGGTCAGACACCCTGCCAACCATCTTTGTTATCACCCCTACCTACACCCGGCCAGTGCAAAAAGCTGAGCTGACCCGTCTGGCCAACACCTTCCTCCACGTACAGAACCTGCACTGGGTGGTGGTGGAGGACTCTCCGCGGAGGACCAACCTTGTATCCAACCTGCTGGAGAAGGCTGGGCTCAACTTCACCCACCTCAACGTGGAGACACCCAAGAGCCTGAAGCTGGGTCTGTCCTGGATCCCATCCCACACTCCAAGGGGGACACTACAGAGGAACCTGGGGCTGCACTGGCTGAGGGACAGCTTCAGCAACACCGCACCACCAGAAGGCGTAGTCTATTTTGCTGATGATGATAACACCTACAGCCTGGAGCTCTTTGAGGAGGTAAGAAACATACAATTACATGGCACAGAAAAGCAGAATACAGCTGCAGAGCCTCTTAAGCCCAGTTGCACTTGCAAAGACCTCGCCCATTCTGCATGCAGTAGCAGCTGGGTATAGGGCAGATGCAAGCTGAAAGGGCAAAGAACATATTTGCCATGCTCCAGGCTGCGGATGTGAACAGCCACTCACACATCATTGCACCAGCTGGAGTTCCTCTTGCCAGGGACCACAGGATGTGTACATCAGAATTTATACCTCTCCTCAGGGAAAGCTGACCTAATTTAAATAAGCACCAAAGACAAGCTTCTGGCACTGTTGTAGGGTTGTGATGGTTAGCAGATGATGGAAGAGTTGTCTGACTTTCTATCCACCTTTACTCCTTGGCTGCCCTTCAGTTCTCCAAGTTCCAGCCACCACAACAGGGCTGTGCCTCTGGGATCACTGAAGCTTGCCCAGCTCTTCTGCTGGAGACCTGGTTTTGTGAGATGCCAAGCCTATCGTAAATTTGCAAAAATCCAGTAAACTCTCCTGCCACCAATTTAAGCCAAACTGTACCAAGCCACTTGAAGAGCAGAATTATGCATCATAACATATTTCCAGTTTTCAGAGTTGTTAGGTCTCTGTTAAGCTCATCTTTTTTTAGTACTTTCAGGTCCTTTCTGACAATTTCAATAAAATTCCATACTTCTAGGCAGTAGCCATGGATGGAAAAACAAGACAGGAGGTGGGGGGAGAAATTGGAATAGATGAGGACAAACATGAATCAGTCATGGAGATTACTTGCATGAGTGTGAAGCTGGAGTAAATGGAGTTGGTAATACAGAGCTAGAGGCTTGGTAAAAGCAGTATTTGGCATTTACAAAATTGATACAATTCTGCCATAACAAAAAGGCAAAAGTTCAAATGGGATGAGAAAACCAGAGGTTTTCATTCTTCTGAATGTGGGCACAGAAAACCAGCGAGTTTGTTGTTCAGAGAATAATGTGCTAAGAATTTGCCTTGTGGCTGTGGAAGCTGTAGCTCTTCAAGCAGCAGCAGAGGTGAACTAGAGCTTGTGCTGCCGAGAGCAATGTGATTGCGTAGGAAGTCCGTGGGGGAGGACAGGTGCCAATGAAAGCAGAGGGTGGTGCACTAATGGACTAATGGGTTGGGACAGACGTGGTGGGGTTGAATTCTCACAGCACTGTCTCTTTCTGGCACACAGATGCGCTACACAAGGCGGGTCTCAGTCTGGCCAGTGGCTTTCGTTGGGGGGCTGCGATATGAATCCCCAAAAGTGAGCCCAGCAGGGAAGGTGGTAGGCTGGAAAACCGTCTTTGACCCCAATCGTCCCTTTGCGATTGACATGGCTGGATTTGCTATCAGCATCAAGTTGATTTTGGAGAAGCCTCACGCCAGTTTCAAGCTGGAGGGAGTTAAAGGAGGGTACCAGGAAACAAGTCTGCTGAAGGATTTAGTAACTATGGACGGGCTGGAGCCCAAAGCAGCTAACTGCACAAAGGTGAGTGATACAAGAAATCTCAAAGATACCGTCTCCTTGCTGGGTCCTGGCTGCTTTTACAGTCTCCTGCCATACTCTTTCACCTGCCATGGTGCCTGCCCTATGCTGGCACATGTCAGTGCCAAATGATGCTGGGACAAACAGATGGACAAAGCCTGCTAAATTCTTCACAGATGAAAAGCTCTGAGAGAGCTAAGGAGCAGTGCTAGGCATTCTGTGTTAATAAAGGTCAGATGTATGATTTGTGCCCAGATTGCTTCCCCAAATCCAGGAGGATTGGCAGAGGGTTGAGTCTGGAATTTTGTTCTAGAATGATCCCTCCTCCTTGCCACTTTTTCATGCGCCCATAAAGTGTCTCCCATGATCAACCCCTTTCAATCACATGCTTCAAACAGCTGTGAGCCTCACTTTTCTGAGGATCCCATGCAACGGGTGAAGTACTTTCATAATTTCCATGCTATGCAGAACGCCCTGAACTCTTTGTGCTTCCCTCTAGGTGTTGGTCTGGCACACAAGAACTGAGAGGCCCACTCTGGTTAATGAAGGCAAGCGTGGGTTTACAGACCCCAGAGTAGAGGTGTAAGCAGAGAAAGGTCAGATGTACGATTTGTGCCCAGATTGCTTCCCCAAATCCAGGAGGATTGGCAGAGGGTTGAGTCTGGAATTTTGTTCTAGAATGATCCCTCCTCCTTGCCACTTTTTCATGCGCCCATAAAGTGTCTCCCATGATCAACCCCTTTCAATCACATGCTTCAAACAGCTGTGAGCCTCACTTTTCTGAGGATCCCATGCAACGGGTGAAGTACTTTCATAATTTCCATGCTATGCAGAACGCCCTGAACTCTTTGTGCTTCCCTCTAGGTGTTGGTCTGGCACACAAGAACTGAGAGGCCCACTCTGGTTAATGAAGGCAAGCGTGGGTTTACAGACCCCAGAGTAGAGGTGTAAGCAGAGAGCCAGCTCCAGGGTGTGAGTATCTTTGTCTTTATTGTTTTTAGCAAGGCAAATAATCTGTACCTATTCCATTATATCTGCTATTATTTCCTCAAAAACTATTGCCTCCAGTACTATTGCCTCCAGTAATTCACCACGTCATTATATCTGCTATTATTTCCTCAGAAACTATTTCCTCAAAAACTATTGCCTCCAGTAATTCACCGTGCCACCCTTCGGACAAGAAGTAGATTCTCTTCTTTATCCATGTATGCTCTGCATTTCTTGCACATTCAAGCCTCCTTGCAGACCATATGGGAGTTTTGCCTGACAGAGAGAAAAGAAACAGCAGAATTCCCCAGTTTCACTCAGTATTAATGACAAGCCAAATTCTTGACCTTGGACTCTTTCATCCAGCTGCAAACTCCCTTTGGTGTGGGAGTTGTCCTACAGCATGGAACGAGATTACACTGCTGCAGGCAACCTTTTCTCCCAGCAGCCCTGCCACCTGTGCAGGGCTTCATGCATCTCCCTTCAGCTTTTATCCTGCATGAACAGCTGAGGTGTGGGTGCAGCAGGGAAAGGCTGATGGAATGCTTAGAGCACCTCAGAACAGGAACCAGCAAAGCACAACCCACACAGACTCAGTTTGAGGTGCTAGATACCAGTGATCCCAGAGCTAGGAGTGCATCTGCTGCTGAGGAGAGATAGTGAATGCACTAGGAAGTGCCTTTGCAGTTCAGAGAGCCAGGTTCAGCAGCAGGATGGGGGATTATGGCAACCACCAGGGGTGAGGCAGGAATGTATCAGAGATCATTGATACGTTCTTAGAAAGAGAATGATTATGAAGAAGCGACCAGATGCCATACCCTCAGATCTCAATGGCATATTGCTGCCCTAAATGTCCAAAAGGAATAAAAAGTATCCCAATTTCAGAGTACCCATCTCTTTCTGAAATCAGTCATAACTGTGTCAGGACTCAGGATGCTGAATGATTTAGTCCTACTTTGGAAGATATTCCAGGAGTGCTTTTAGTTTTGACCCCAATATACACCTCAGTTCAGCTCTACTGGTGGAAAGAAAACTGACAGCTTTTATACAGGCAGTCATGAGTATTTCAACTCCTGCACTGATCTCCTGTGTGCTTCACTAGTAGCTGCACTCAGCATTGCCACAGCACCTCATCATATCTGAGTGACAGCCACACAAACAGTGCAAAGCAATCCCAGTGCCTGCACACCCAGCAGCAGATGGAAGGGACTGGAGTCAGTTTATCTAAATCTAAACACAAACACTTGGTGCCACCACAGGGACCCTGGGGTAGCCTACCTGTCCCTCCTACAGGGCACAAACACTGTACCATTTCTGACAGTTTTTTATTAATGTTACAGATATCCTAGAAACCCATAAATGATGCAAGGTATCTGTGCTTAGGCAGCAGCTCCTCTTTTCACCTGTGCTTTTGTGAGATCCACTAGCAACAACAGGCTCATTTTGCACACTCACCTATGCTGAGTCTGCAGTTGCCTAAAGCTATGATTGCCCAAACTCAGCTCATAAGGACTCACAGTCCAGTTAACTGCTGTAATAAGGAATAAGTGATAAGGAATCACTTACTTTGTCCAGGATGAGCAGGCGTATAAAAACTCAGAGAGATTAGACCCTGCTGGAGGAGAGGCTGACTGCTCCATTGGAGATGCACAGTGCAGATGTAATGTTTTCACAAATGTGCCATTTTTGGATGGGCTCTTTTGTCCTCAAAAACTGGCCAAACACACAGCCATCCTCCATAAGAAATGTAATACACCAGCTATGCAGCTATGGAGTCTCATGAGAATGGCTTCCCATTAGTGATTTGTTGTGGGAGAGGAAAGCAGCCAGCCTAAAAGACCAAGACACTGACACAGATTTGCCAGCAGGACTTGCACCTTAATCCAAGCCATCCTCTCCAATGGTTTCAATCTGATTGTTGGCTGGATCAGCCATGCAGATTTTTAAGGATCTTTGTACTTGCATTAGCAGTCACTTTGACCACAATCCCTTCTGCACCACTGTCTGTCATGGCAGCTGCTCTGACACATCAGGGCAGGTTGGCAGGTTGGCAGGTGGCATCTACTCCAGGAGACACATGCAAGGTAAATTGCTTGACAATCAATGGCAATCAAGCAAAATCATTAGATTGCATCTCTTAAAATTTTAAATTGAGATTTCTGCTGAAGGTTTCAGTGTACTGGAATTTCATACTGTCAAGGCTGCTGAGCTTCAGAACATTGATAGGCATGATCTAGATAAGCCAGTGCTGAGAAAAAAAAAGAGGCAAAATTGCTCCCCTGAGGATCTTCTGTTCTTAGACACAATAGGAAGAATGTTTCCATCTTTCCCTCCTGGCAATTAGTCCTCCTTGAGGATCAGATCAAGCCAGTTAATTCCAAGACCTCCCAGAGCCCTCCTTCCCTTTAAATCCTGCAGATGTGAGTCAGTCAGACATTGCTTGGTGTGGGATTTGGTACTCCCCTAATCTCTAATTGGACCAGTTGCATGGCTGCTTGCCACAGAGCAGCCCAAAGCTATCACAGCACACATCCCTGCTGACTGTATTGAAACACCTTTGAAACACAGGCTTTGCTTTCTGAGAAGAGGAGATGGAGGTTAATTTCACCTCATATTTTTCTTTCATAAAGTCCTGAAAACTATCAAGGAAGACTGGTGTTATAAAAACTACCTATTCCTATTGCTAATTTTTATTTACAGGCATCCAAAAGAGAAGAGTGTGCTTAGGTTAGCATAGGACTCCTGCTATTGTGAAATTTGGAAACAGAGAAGGTTCATCTGCATTTCACAGCTTCCAGACAGACTGAATAGATCCTCAAATCTCATCCTCCTACTCTTTCTTTTAAAAAATTATCAGAGAAGTTAAAATAATGACTTTAAGTGCCGACAAAAAAAATCTGTCAGAAACTTTCTCTAATTCGTAAATAAAATCTCCCAGCTAGTGCAGAGAGAACAAGCAGCTCTTCAGACACATCCCAGCTCAAAGCCATGCACACTGTGGTTGAGGAACCTGTTCACTGATGCCTGCAAGGTGTTTGCCTGAGCGGGGGGGATAGTTGTGTTTACACCTTCTTACCTCACCTTGTGTTTTTTTCGACAGAGGCAGAGGGCTGTGATTGTTCCTGAAGTTCATCAGCAACCATAGCAACTGTGCATCCTGCCTGTCCTGCCCAGCGCCCTGCTCCACTGCTGGAGGGTGATAAACACCCCCAAATGTCACCACTCCAAACAACTCCCATTGCCCAAAGAGGTGGTAATAAGGAGGGACAGAGCTGAGGTGATGCCCTGAGATCCTCCCCACCTAGGAGAGGAGTGCTTCCCTTCCCCACTGGGCCCTGTACTTTTAACCATTTGTTAAAACTTACTAGATGTGATCTTCATTCTCCGCTGTGTAGCACAGAGGCTGAAATCCAGGATGGGTGTAGGTGCATCCAAAGGCCTCTTCTGGCATTTTCCAAAACCTGAGCTTCGGTACAGCAACTGCAAACTGCAGTAGTTCAAGGACAGGAGTTGTCACTAAAGCACAAACATGGACTTGTTGGCCTGAGGCTGGTGTGCTCTCAAAACAGCTTTAGAGCAAAGCTGGCATGAGAGTCTCTCGCTCTGAGGGATGCACTCTGACATGTACACAGATCAGCCTTCAGTGCTGGAGAGGATGCTGTGCTGATGAACCTCATTTGGGGTTTGGGAGTTCAGAAGGAATGTGGTGCCTATCTCTCAGCTCAGATTTTGAACTGTCCCTGCTTAAGGTTGTTTTGGAAAACTCCATCTGAGATCTCCAAGCACAGAGCCCTCTGGATGAAGTTCCTCTCCTGCACTGGGAGACATGGCAGGTACTGTACCTCAGAGGCCATGCCTCCGTGTCCTGCTGCAGAGAGCAGAAAGCAGGGCAAAGATCAGCAAACTTGAACATGTTCAAGGCCTGGAAGCCTGCTGCAGCACCATCAGGTGCTTCAGGAGCCTCAAATCATGTGCATGGACTTGCTTCCTAGACCTCCAGAGAGGAAATGTCCCACTGCAGAGAGCAGAAAGCAGGGGCAAAGATCAGCAAACTTGAACATGTTCAAGGCCTGGAAGCCTGCTGCAGCACCATCAGGTGCTTCAGGAGCCTCAAATCATGTGCATGGACTTGCTTCCTAGACCTCCAGAGAGGAAGACAACTCTGAGAGGGAGGTGGGTGAGAAGTGCTCAGAGAAGAGGAACCCTCAGCCTGCACTCATCTGCTGTGAGAACATCAAGGAATGTGGAGACATCATCAGAAAACCTATCTTGAGCACATCCATGACAACTGAAATAACAAATGTGGCAAGGTTTTCCAGCTGAACTTTGAAAGGAGTGTGTGGTGCTGTGAAGAGAGAGGAGTCAGTGTCATGTGGAAGGGTTTCCCTTTCCCTCAATAAAACAGGAAGACAGACAGGTGGGAGGCAGCCTACAAAACAGGAGGTGCAAATGAGGACCGAAGGAAGGATGCACTGGATTAAAAGCACAAGTGTTGGTACCATATGTGTGCGTGGGGAGTGGTGTCACTGTGACTTTTCCAGGAAGATTCCTTGAATGACCCAGAAACCCCTCTGAGCAGATCTTTAAAACCTTCTTCACTCAGGCC